CACTCCTCGTCATCTCTTTCCCTATTCTCTTTCATACTTTTTCTCCATATCACTCTCTCCCTCTCACTCTCTCTCTCTCTCCCACGCTCTCCCTCTATCTCTTCTTATATTCTCTTTCATACTTTTCTCTCCCTATATCTCACCCTCTCTCTCCCTCGTATTCACATTCATAGTTTTTTTGTCTCACTCTCTCCCTCTCCTCATATTCTTTTTCATACTTTTCTCTCGATCTCTCTCCCCTCTCTATCCCTCATATTCTCTTTCATACTTTTCTTTCCCTCTCTTTCTTTTACTCTCTCCGTCTTTCTCACTTTTTTTCTTTCTCTCTCTCTCTCTCTCTCTCTCTCTCTCTCACACACACACACACACACACACACACACACACACACATACACACTCCCTCATATTTTCTTTCATGGTTTTCTGTCCACCTCTCGCTCTTGCATTCTCTCCCTCGCTTCTGCTCTCTCTCTCTCTCTCTCTCTCTCCCTCTCTCGCTCACTCACTCATATTCGCATTCATACTTTTCTCTGCTTGTCTCTCTCCCTCATATTCACTTTCATAGTTTTTGCCTCTCTTTCTCCCTCTCCTTATATTCTCTTTCATAGTTTTCTCACCATATCTCTCTCTCTCCTTCAAATTCACTCTCATATTTTTTGTCTGTCTGTCTGTCTCTCTCTCTCTCTCCCTGTCCCCTTCATATTCTCTTTCATACTTTTCTCTCGATCTTTCCCACTCTCTCTCCTCATATTCTTTTTCATACTTTTCTCTCCTTCTCTTTCTCTCTCACTCCCACTCTCTCTCTTCCTCATATTCTCTTTCATGGTTTTCCGTTCATCTCCCCTCTTCCATTCTCTCCCTCTCTTCCCCTCTCTCTCCCTCATATTCTCTTTGATACTTTTCTCTTTACCTCTCCCACTCTCTCTTCTCCTCTCCCTCTCTCCCATTCTCTGCCTCATATTCTCTTTCATACGTTTAACTTTTTTTCACCATCTCTCCTACTCCCTTCCTTTCTCTCTTTCCCTCTCCCCCATATTCGCTTTCATTTTTTTTCTTTAATTCCTCTCTCTCCTGTCCTTCCTCGACAGTTTTTTACGTTTCCCTTCTCAAATTATACCCATCTCTTACTTTTCCACCGTTTTTTTTTTTTTTTTTGACACAGCCGGCATAAACATGCCACCACCACCGCCACCACCGCCACCATCTCGCCAACTCGTTTACCACAAGGAAATATCTCTTACCTAATTCTTGAACCTCCATTACATTCCGATGCCAAAAGAAAATACAAAAACAGCCAGCGAACAGACGAAACGAAACGAAACGAAACAAAACAAAATAAACAAAAACAAAACGAGAAAGAATGAATTTTCCAGCTTACGTACTAGAAGGCATCATGGGAACGACTGCACGTACTGAACCCTATGGTACCTGAACAACAGACACGAAGTCAGCAACAGTTTTGATATCAACACTTTAAATTATTACATACTTACAAAAACATCCCCGCAGAGAATGGAAACGGCCACGCTAATGCGTGTGTACATTAGATAGATAGATAGATAGATAGATAGATAGATAGATAGATAGATAGATAATGAACAGACTAATATAGATGCAGAAGGAGAGAGAGAGGAACAGGCTGAGATATATAGATACAGAGGAACCAGCTGAGATAGATAGATAGATAGATAGATAGATAGATAGATAGATAGATAGATAGATAATCATCAAGCAGACATAGTTCAGAAGATGAGAAAAAGTGTGGTCTTAGCCATCGCGTCACCAACTATATAGATATTGCCACCCAAGGCTATAGAAGCCATACTTGCTATTTAACCCACAGCTGGTGGGGAGGAGAGAAGAGATTGAGTCATACCTTTCTCAAGAGTCTTTGTACGTAAGTGGATGTGACGAACTCGACTGGAAATCGAACTCGGCTTTTTAATTTTTCATCTCATTTTACACCACATGCACCTCACCGTTATCATGTAGGAATATATTATTGCTAAGAAAGGGTTATCATGTAGGAATATATTATTGCTAAGAAAGGGTTACCATGTAGGAATATATTATTGCTGAGAAATGGTTATCATGTAGGAATATATTATTGCTAAGAAAGGGTTACCATGTAGGAATATATTGCTGAGAAAGGGTTATCATGTAGGAATTTGATTATTGCTAAGAAAGGGTTATCATGTAGGAATATATAATTGCTAAGAAAGGGTTACCATGTAGGAATATATTATTACTGAGAAAGGGTTACCATGTAGGAATATATTATTGCTGAGAAAGGGTTGTCATGTAAGAATATATTATACCTAAGAAAGGGTTATCATGTTATGTAATTGATGAATCAATAAATCAATCAATCAATTAAGAAATTTGCAACCCGATAGAAGTCTCTTGTCCATTTGACACGAAAACTGAAAAGGAAAGATCAAGAACTAAAATGATTTAAAGTATAAAATTTTCAAAGTTTGGGGAAGGCTAGCAAAGAAAG